CCTGGCCAACACGGTGAAACTCCATCTCTACTAAAAATACAAAAGTTAGCCGGGCATGGTGGCGGGCGCCTGTAATCCCAGCTGCTTGGGCAGGAGAATCTCTTGAACCCAGGAGGTGGAGGTTGCAGTGAGCCGAGATCGCACCATTGCACTCCAGCCAGGGTGACAGAGCGAGACTCTATCTCAGACAAACACACACACATACACACACACACACACACACAAGAAAAAGAAGTTAAATAACTGTAGGAAGTGGGGCAAAATCCTCACGATTGCTTAGTGTATGATCGCCAGAAAACTGAAACCTGATGTTAAACTTCCAGTTTCTAGGCAATTTGGGGAATAAAAAGACAAATCCCGCCGGGCACAGTGGCTCACGCCTGTAATCCCAGCACTTATGGGAGGCCGAGACGGGTGGATCACGAGGTCAGGAGATCGAGACCATCCTGGCTAACACAGTGAAACCCCGTCTCTATTAAAAATACAAAAAACTAGCCGGGCGAGGTGGCGGGCGCCTGTAGTCCCAGCTATTCGGGAGGCTGAGGCAGGAGAATGGCGTGAACCCAGGAGGTGGAGCTTGCAGTGAGCTGAGATCCGGCCACTGCACTCCAACCCGGGTGACAGAGCGAGACTCCGTCTCAAAAAAAAAAGACAAATCCCACCAAGAGGAAGCAAACACACGAGTCCCGAATGTAGATGTTCCGCAACACCTGTGACCAAACTCTGCACTAAATCAAAGACATGAAAGCAGAAAATGGGAATGGGAGTGCACTCTAGACAGAAAGAGCCACAGCAACCACATGTAATGTATGGACCTTGTTTGGATCTTGCTTTGAACAAACCAACTGTTAAAAAGACATTTTGAGGCCAGGCGCGTTGGCTCACGCCTGTAATCCCAGCACTTCGGGAGGCGGAGGCGGGCGGATCACCTGAGGTCAGGAGTTGAGGACCAGCCTGGCTAACACGGTGAAACCCTGACTCTACTAAAAATACAAAAATTAGCCAGGCATCTTGGCGCACACTTGTAGTCCCAGCTACTTGGGAGGCTGAGGCAGGAGGCTGAGGCAGGAGAATCACTTGAACCTGGGTGGTCGAGGTTGCAGTGAGCTGAGATGGTGCCACTGCACTCCAGCCTGGGATACTGAGTGAGACTCTATCTTAAAAAAAAAAGACATTTTGAGACAGTGAGATTTGTATATGAACTAAGTATTTGGAATTAGATGATACTAAAGAATTATCATTAATTTAGTTAGGTGGTAAGAACATTGTGGCTATTTAAGAAAATGTCCACGTTCTTTATTTTTATTTTTGAGATGGAGTCTTACTCTGTCGCCCAGGCTGGAGTGCGGTGGTATGATCTGGGCTCACTGCAACCTCTATTTCCTAGGTTCAAGTGATTCTCCTGCCTCAGCCTCCTGAGTAGCTGGGATTACAGGGGTGCACCACCATGCCCAGCTAATTTTTGTATTTTTAGTAGAGACGGGGTTTCGCCATGTTGGCCAGGCTGGTCTTGAACTCCTGACCTCAGGTGATCCGCCTGCCTCGGCCTCCCAAAGTGCTGGGATTACAGGCATGAGCCACTGCGCCTGGCCCCTCATGTTCTTTAGAAATGATAATGTCCATGGTTTTTGGGAGTGAAATGACACGATGTTTGGGGTTTGGTTTAAAATCATGTTTCGGAAGCATTAACATGCAAATGAATCATCGGAGATCTTGGTAAAATGCAGATTCTGACTCAGCAGGTAATGAATCAGAGTGGGGCCGAAAGTCTGTTCCAACAAGCTCCCAGATGATGCCAACACTGCTGGTCCTCAGATCACGTTTTGAGCAGCCACGCTTTAAATACTTTGACAACGAAAATGAAAAAGGGAACACAAAATAAATTCAGGCTGTGTGGCTGGATCTTGATCATTGTGTCATCCGCTTGATGGACATATTGGCTTTACTATAGTTATCTTGTTTACCTGTGTACATGCTTAAGATTTTATTATCCAAAAATTCCAGACTTGAGGAGGAGCCTGGGGACAGGGCTCTGAGGCCAGGCCCTGCATCTCTCATCTCTCCATTTCCAGGCCATTTCCCTGAGTCTGGCACAAAGTGGATATCTATATTTAATTTAATTTTATTTATGGATTTATTCTTTGAAATGGAGTCTGGCCCTGTGGCCCAGGCTGGAGTATAGTGGTGCGTTCTCGGCTCACTGCAGCCTCTGCCTCCCAGGTTCAAGCAATTCTCCTGCCTTGGCCTCCCGAGTAGCTGGCATCACAGGTGTGCGCCACTATACCTGGCAAATTTTTGTATTTCTAGTAGAGTTGGGGTTTCACCATGTTGGCCAGGCTGGTTTCAAACTCTTGACTTCAGGTGATCCACCACCTTGGCCTCCCAAAGTGCTGGGCTTACTACAGGTGTGAGTCCCCATGCCCAGCCTGATATCTGTATTTTATTCCTTTTTTTTTATACCTCTCCTTGCCTGGAATGATTTGTGGTGATTCATAAAAATACATAATACAGGTAAGATAAACGCTTGCTTAAAATAATGGGGCAGGCAGAAAAGGACAGAAGGAAAATGATAGTTTAAAAAAAGAGGGGGATACAATAAACCAGGAAGGAGGCCAATAGCTAACATGTAGATCAAGCAGTGCCAGCACTTTCTTTCTTTCTTTCTTTCTTTTTTTTT